CAGATCTAAATTCACCAGAAGCTTTGCTCCATTATTAAATCTATCTGGCAGTTCTATCTACACAATTAAAATCAGCAAGAAATTTTAACAGACAATGAACGCAAAAGGGAAACAATTTTTTTTTAAATAAAGGGAAACAAATATAAATTATGAAAATACTTCACTGCATGAAAAGAGGATTTCAGGAGAAGAAAACGAGGAAGTGGCAAGGAGGGGGCTGTCAACTATTTTCTGAAGCCTACTGCTTTTTCTGCAGTTGAAGTTTAAGCAGTAGCATTCAAGAGTTTCTTGCAATATAACATCCCCAGTATTGGATATTAGCACCAAATATCTTCCAAATAGTAAGTGCAAGATTATTAGAACAATACCTAAGCAAGTACCAATATCATCTTCATGCATGCAAAGCCAAGATAATTCTCAACGAGTACCAAAAAGAACCTGAACAAGTGAATTTGCAGAAGGGCATTTTGAAGTACCGCTAAAACTTTATTTGATGCATGTGATGAAATAAATCATCCAACATCAAGAAGAGCACACTCAATACTATTTAAACAGGAAAGCTCCATAATCTGTGTTGTTAAAATCTGTAATGCCCTATATATCTCTGCTGTTTTTGGCCTGAATAATTATCAGATTGAAAAACCAATATCTGGCGTTGATCCTCAATCCAGCTGCATCCCGGCTCCTTTTCAATGCCATTCTGATTCAAGAAATTTCTAACTCTATCGACCTCATCCCACCTCCCTGACTGAGCATAAATATTTGAGAGAAGCACTAGACTTGATGTTTTATGAGGTTCAATTTCAAAAAGCTTCCTAGCAGCAAAATCAGCAAGCATCACATTTTTATGCAAGCGACAAGCCCAAGAAGAGCACCCCATATTCCTGCAGTGGCTTGGACCTTCATTTTCCTGATTAACTCAAAGGCTTCCTCTAACCTTCCTGCTCTGCCAAGCACATCGACCATGCAAGTATAATGTTCAGCCAAAGGTTCAATGCCATACTTCTGCGTCATGCAACTGAACAAGGTTAGACCTGCAGAAACTAAGCCTGCATGATTACATGCAGAAAGAACCCCAACAAAAGTAACTTGATCGGGAATGACAGCATATCCTTCCATTTCTTGGAAAAGTTTGCATGCCTCTATCCCATATCCATTTAGAGCATAGCCTGCTATCAAAGAATTCCAGGATACCACGTCAAGGTTATCAACATCACTGAATACATCTCTGGCACTCAAGATACTTCCACACTTGGCATACATCGTAATTAGAGCATTACTGACAACCATATCTTTCATATAACCATTTTTCACCACAATGTGATGAAGTTGCGCCCAAATTGCTCAGCTGCAAGACTAGCACAGACCTTAGGCAGAAGCAAAAGTAGATTGATCAGGCTTCTTTCCATCACGAATCACGAGCAAAATATTCTTCAGTGCATCCATGTATAACCCATTTTGTGCATAACCTGAAATTACGGAATTCCAAGAAATTATATTCTTTTCCCCAATTTGCTCAAACATCTCAAGTGCTCTCTCCATTTTTCCTACTTGAGCATAGCCCGTAATCATGGTGTTCCAAGTATCTATTTTCTTTGGGGCCATATTTTGAAATAGATAGAAAGCTTCATCCATTCTTCCATGTTGAGCATATCCCGCAATCATCGTGTTCCAACAGACAGTGTCACGTTTCTCATGCGATCAAAAATTTGACGGGCGTCATCGATCCTATTGTTCTGAATAAAGCCAAGCATCATGGCTGTTTGTGACCCTACATTTTCATAAGGCATTGTATCGAACAATTTCTTTGCTTCTTCAAGCTGACCAATTCGGACATGACCACTGATGATGGTAGTCCATGATATAGCATCCTTCTCTGGCATCTCATTAAATAATTCTACTGCCTTGTCAACCTTGCAATTCTGAATGCATGCAGCCAACGTCGCATTCCAAGCAACAACATTTCTCTCCGTCATGTTGTTAAAGAATCCCTCTGCCTCTGAAAGGTGGCCATGCCTTGCCAAGCCACTCAACATTGTGGCCCAAGAAACAACACTTGGATTGGGAATCCTTTCAAAAAACTCCCTAGCAGCATTCAAATCACCAGCTTGCGTGTACCCTTCTAATACCAAATTCCACGAAATCCAATCCTTTTCTTCCATCTCTTCAAAAACTTAGCAGCCAAACACATTTGCCCGCTACGCGGTATATCCCGAGAGCATTGTATTCCACGAAACCAAGTTCCTCACTGGCATTTCATTGAACAATTTCCTACCATCGCTGAGCATCCCATTCTTGACATACCCTGTAATCAGTGCATTCCAACACGCTGCACAACTCTTATCGGGCATCGAATCAAATACTCGTCTTGCTTTTTCTACGAAACCACTACGTGCATAACAAGTAATCATGAGACTGTAAGTAAAAGAGTCCCTTCGACGCATTTTATCAAATAATTCAGCTACTTCTTTAAAATAGTCATTATACAAGTAACCGCTCATCATTGTGTTCCAGGAAATCAAGTTCTTAAATGGCATTCGATTAAATAGAGCACAAGCCTCACTGAATCTTCCATTCTTAGCATAGGCGGAGATCATCGAGTTGTAAGTGACAGCGTTGGGCTGTGCTATTGCGTTGAATACTCTGACGGCCTCATCAATGTCACCTCTTTTGGCTAGTTGGGTTATCTTTAAATTCAGCTGAAAGACATCCTGTTGACCTCTTCTATTCAGATGACCTGCTACAGAATGCAGCCTTGCCTTCATCATATTAGCTCAATCAAGCGTAAAAAAGATCATCAGGCTTAGAGATATTCTGTTGTTTCTTGAGAGACACTGCTATTGCATCATTTGTGCTTTTGTGCGGAATCGCTCAGTTGAAGCCTGGGATGGCAGCGGGTCGCATGATGTTAGTGTTAAAAAAAAAAATCACTGCATACATTCAAAGCTATTAATATAAAAGATCATTAAGTGTCTGTGTAGAAAAGATTGCTACTATATGTGCGTGTATTTATGTCGAGTTTCAGGTTTTTAGGGTTCTCTTATCAAACTCTATCGGATTATCCATCGAAAACCTCTCATCAATATCAAATCCTAACGGATTACCCATCGATCGTCTAATCGAATTAATCATCGGACAAGTATCAAATTTTACCCTACCCATTGCCATCTCTACCTGAATATTGGGTATTGCGCTTTATTATTTTATTTTTGAATTGAGCATTAGTAATAACCACCCGCTTAGTTCTCACTTAGAAATAAAGATAGTAAACGTGTGCTTAATTGTATTCAGTTAGCATATAAAAACATCCCCCTCCAAAAAAAAAAAGGGAGAAGAAGAAGAAGCTATCGCTTTGAAATGGATTGAGGTCAGAATCTCCCTGAGATCTTTCTTTCTTATTTTTGTATCTTAAATCTCATCCCTTCCTATTAGGAAAAATTTTTTTGAAAAAAAATAGCAAGTGCTTGTTTAGTTTGTACAAGCGATACGTTTTCGGTCCTGTCATGGCATAAAATTTGATTTTGTATGGTCCGAATCATGCTATACAAAGATTATTTATAAACATGTACAAAAGATTCTAAGACAAATTCAGATGATAAACTTCTCAACAGAGCATGCTCCCACGAAAGAATTTGTTGGTGATTTGGTGGCCGAAAGGTTGACCGTGAAACCACATTCAATGAAGAAGATTTGTGGTTTAGGGACACAGGGGGACTGTACCATTGAAGATGGAAAGTGTCGATGCGGCTGATAAAAAGGTTACGGAAATCACTGATGGTGATCAAGTCCACACACACAGGAACATGTTTTACACTACTGTTCTCCTCCCGCGCGTCCAATAGGACAACAACCACGCCCAGTTCTTCAGTTGATAATTATTACTCGCGTTCATTAAGACTAGGAGGCAATAACGCGCTTCGCGCGATAGTAATGTAAAATGCCCATTCCATTTCTGAAGTAATAAAAATAACATTTTATTTAGAAATGTACATTTTTTAGTATATATATACCATGAGTCTAAAGGTTTGTTGATATTTCTTGGCTACGAACTTTCATAGATATTGTTAAATTTCTAAATTTAATGGAAGTGCTTTGGAACTTCCAAAGCCTGAATTTCTAAATTTGCTAAACTTTGCTAAACTTCCAAAGTCTGAAATGCAAATTTAAATTTCTAAATTTTTAATAGGAACTTCCAAACTCTGAAGTTTTGTTAATGCAAATATAATGGAGCATTTTTTCTAAATTTAATATATACAGCCATTTGTTTTTTGTAACCAAAGGTAGGATCAACTTTATTGCTAAACATCAATGTTTAATATGTAATGCCGTTGGAACATCCATTATGAAAGCTTCAATCGTTAAACAACAGTAGGAACTTGCTAAACATTAAATTTGTAGTGCTTTGGAAGCATTTTTCTAACCAGAACTTTTTTCCATTAAGAACATAAATACAACAAATGCCGTGCATTGCGTTGAAGCAGAATCAGCGTAAATCAGATGTGCCATCAAATGGAAAATGCAAACTGCCATGGAAACAACTTCTCTATTCCTTTGCGGTCAAGCACCAGCACAGCAAAGGGAGTCTTGGATTGTGGAATAAAAAGCAATATCTGGCCATTTTTTAGATCATGATCAATAACAAAACGGTTCCAGTTTTGATCAAAACATCTGCCGGTCATACCAACACGATAATATTTATGACCATTTGTAAGAGTTATAGTCGTACTTTCTTCATTTAGCCTTAGATTCGCAAATTCTGGCATATCCTATAAATGTATGAAAAAAAATTGTGATAAGTAAATACACATATGTACAAAAGAAAGAGAGTTAACAAGGTTAGAGAATGCAAAACTATACCAGCTTGTACTTGTACTTTGATAGATAAAATTGATAGAAGCAATTGAATGTAGTCCAGTCATGTTTTAGGAATGGATTCATAGATGAGACAATACGATGGAGAACTGATTCATAGAATCAATCTTAGGAAAGCTGTATCAATCTTAGGAAAGCTGTGTGGTCTCGCCTTACATTAATTTCAACTTTGTTCTCTATATGATTTCTTGATTCTTTACCCCAAAGTCTTTTTCTCCCATCAAGAATGCTTCAGAAATTATATGATCAATACATACCTAGCTATTACAGAATGGCAACAAACTGAAATGGCAACAACCTAGCTATTACAGAATTTCTGTGCTTGAGTCCTCTAACAACTATAACTACATAATACACATTAACTAAAAAACATCCAATGAAACTGCACTCATAATCAAACGACAATGCCTAACATAGGACAGCAGATTCCTTCCTCTTTACTGCTTAGCCACATGAGCAGTCAGTTCAGCATTCTGCAGCAAAAAACAGAAGCATTCAAAATCATTCAAAATAACCAATGAATTCCTAGTCTGCACACACTATTTATTCAGTCAAAAGCATTCAAAATCATTCAAGAAGAATAAGTGTAATCATTCAAAACAGCACTCACACAAGTAACTTATGAAGATGCCTTTATACACAAAGCACCAAGCAAAAGTAACATCTCGCAGAAAGAACCAAACACAGAAGAACATCATTTACAGGATATAAAACAGCATTTGTCAAAGTCTGAAACAAAAAGAAATCTCTAATACAATTCATCTTGCTTTAGCATTCCAATTGATCACTTTCAGAAAAATGAGCTAAAGTAATAAATTTCCACGAACAATAGAATAAGTTAGTATAACAAAGAAATCATAATCTCAAATTCAGAGGCAAAAAACAAAAAAAAAAAAAGAACCCTTGTTTTGACAAATATAACAAGTATGATAAAAAACTGACAAATGTTGTCATGGAGCGGAAGACATTTCAAATTCAGTTAAGGAAAAATAACTGATACAGCCTTTTTTTATTGTTTCCATCCCACACATCAACATAACCATCACAACCTCAAGTAGCAAATGTACCATAGCTACAAATCAAAATCAGTTTTGAGACAGATTTTGGCAAAAAGCTCAAGGTATTCAATCAATAGATAATTGTAATAGATCCAACTCAATCACTCAATATATCTAGAGTTGATAAATCAAGCACATAGGCTTATAAATCATTCATGGATACATTGACATTATAAATCATTCTCTTTTGTTTGTTCCATTCCAACTCAATCATTGACATAGCTACCTTAAGAATACATGGATCGGCTCCACTTATCAAGTTCAAAAAAACAGATGTTTCCTAAAGACGCATAGTTATGATGAGAAGCTTGAAGGTCGTGATTGCCTGGGGAATATCTAGAGTTGAAAATTGGAAATCAGGAAAGATAAATTCAGGTTCGATCGCTTATTCGTAAGCTGTTAAAGTTTTGAACTGTCCCCATAATTGATTGTTTTTGCCTTGTTTCTGCAATTATCTCTCATATTTGTTTACAGTAAGCACCATCACATCAAGTAAAGAACACTTCTCTTGCACCCTATATCAATCTGACATGATTCCATCTGGTACTGAGACTACCAAAACCCAAGCTCGTAGCCCAAAGAACCTACAACACTTTGTTCACCATAGCTGAAGACATACTTGGAACAACTAAGGTACCATATACTTTCTTTTTTTTTTCAGTGCATAGGCAGACACAAACATATAGAGTTATAATAAATCACACACACCTCAAACAAAAGAGAAATGAATTCTTTCATATCTTGATAAACACTTCAAATGTATACTAATCCTATGAACAACCAAGTAAAATGACATTGATATGGTATGAAGAGACATACACATCAGCTTGCATGTACACTTCAGAACCAAGATTGATCAATGTCCTCAGACTGGTTACACTATTTTTCTCCAATGTCTCTATATTTCTTTTCCAATCAGAGCTACAAGAAGTTAAGAGAAAAAAAAAGTAAAGAAGCATTGCAGGTCAAAGGGAACTTGTGCAAAGAAGTAGGAGTCAGAGCAATAAAGGTGAGTAGTATCAATACCCAAATGCAAGAAAACTTAAAAGGATACAAAACTTTCTGTTGTTCAAATACCTCGTTCCTGCAAAAGAGATACCCAGAATATTAGAAATTTGGCATATAACAGAAATTCCGTCTCCAAATTCGCAACTTAATAGTGAAATATTAAACAGAAAGTAGGTAAGTACTCCAACTCATATAATCCCACTGCTGATGGTAATAAGCTCAATAAAGTGGTAACAGGGGATGGTTCTCCAAATAACAACTGTAAGCGGGTGAGTTCAGTATGAGGCAACCAACGGATTCCCACCCACACCTCCCCGCCTCAAGAAAATAGAAAAGGGAAAAAAGGGCGAAAAAAAGAAGGAAAAGAAAAAAGAAAGAAAAGGAAATGAATATTGGCAATATGGGAGTCAAATGAAGCAAAGTCTAATCTATTTATACACAAAAAAAGGATCACTCTCTTCCAGTTTCAGATCGTTAGTTTTCACTACTACAGGAAGTTCAGCTACCGCCCGCTAGAAGCAAAAAAAAAAAAATTAAAGACATCGAGTGAGAGAATTGGGCTCCAAAACACCCTTCCGTACAATGATACAAAGATGGAAAAAGGACAAAAGAAAATGAAGAAAGTTACAGGTAATAACCAGAAATTAGCTAATTCAAAGTCCTCCCAAACTGTTCAATATATTTCTTATCTGCATTGGCTAGGCGATCTTGAAACTGCACCCACTCACTTCTGCACCTCTCTCTTACCTACCAAATTAGATAGAAAAGAATTCAAGCTAGTTACTTGACGTTTGGACAAATCTAATGAAATTCAGTTCAATGCAAAATCATGCAATTCAAACAGAGTGCAGATATAAGACCTATGAATCCTAATTTAAACATGATTGTTAGAATGTAGGTGATATAGAATAACTCAGATTACCATAAAATTGGATGAAGAAGCTTTCAGAGTTGACTTTTGCAAAAAAACGAAGGACAAAGAAAAGGCCTCAATAAAAAAATATACAGAAAGGTTGAAATGGAAACCGAACAAGTAACAGCTTACATACCCCTTGCCAAGGAGCTTTTCCATTTTCAGATTGACCCTGGAATCAACGAAGCTGAAGCTGTTAGCATCATTATCAACAAAACAAATCTAAATGAGGGGAAACCAGATCAAGGGACAAGTAGGATAATTGACGTGGAAGAAAAAAATGTAAATAAGGGGGTTGCTGCTAAAAAGTTGCTTATATTATAAATGAAGAACCATTTGCTCAAAAATGGAAATTAAAGTTGAACAGAACAACATTTGCAAACAACTAAACTTCATTATTTTAATCACCTCTAGGAAAAGGAAAAGCAAGTCCCGATGGTTGTAATAAAGTAGTTAACTGACCTGACTTCCCAGAGAAGGAATAACTTGATGAACTATCCACTGAGAGTCAACCACATCAATTTTCTCATGTGCAGGCTACACAGGCAAAATACACTTACAATAAAACTGATAATACGCAGACATCCATTTGAAATAAATACATGTTTTCCAATTTTATCTGTTTTACATGCCACTGTCCCGCAGATCTCTCGTTCCAACAGGAATATGAAAAGCAGGTAGACAAGCCTTCTTTTCTAAATCTTTCAAATAATACTGTGATAAGAAACAAATAAAACCACTGACCTCCACACATCTCCTTAGCGCAAAATCCAATCCCCAACCATGCACCAATCATTCTAAGAAATGTTATTGAAAGTAAAAAATCAGTGTAAGCTCTCAGCTGGAAAGAACCAAGGCTAATGAGAGCAGCTGAAAGCAAAAATAGTTGGAGGTACAACAAGGCTTAAAATACGTATACAAATGACAAAGTTAGAGAAGGGAACCTGAATCATATGCCAAACACATCGCCAAGCATCCCGCGAGAAAACAGGAGCCATAATTTCCACAAAGCTGAATTCAAAAAGGAAAAACACAAGGAAAATAAGTTGAAGGTAAATGTTGAAGCCACCCAATCTTTTATACTTTTCTTAACTATATATCTCCATTTTAAGGGCCTGAGCATAAATCATGGGTCATAACTCACCTACAAACCTACCAATAAAATCAATTTTTTCAACAATAAGACGTGCTATTGCTATGAGATGTCTTGTGGCTAAGCTCTTCTATTTGGCAATGGTCAACCTGATGAAGAAATATGACCATCAGAGAAAGCGAGCTTCTTGTTTCTGGCAATTTCAAACTTCCAAGCCATGTAAATAAACAATAGTTTCCCAAGACAACATTTTTGTTGTTTTTCAGTTTAATATTATTATTTTCTTGGGTTAAAGAGATTGACCTTCGGAAAAAACAATCAATCTCTGGAAAATTTAAATCTTTGGAAAACCAAACAATCACTCGGAAGAGAAAAAACAAATCCTTTTCAGGTTTGGATTATAAGAAAATAAAAACAAGAAAAACAAACTGCATGGCTCCCAAATTGCCACTCAGTCAATCAAAAGAACAATGTATCAGTTCAAAACTGCAAATTCAATCTATTATGATAAGTGAACCCTGCTCAATTACAATACAATCTCATCTCATACTACTTGGGATCAGTAACTTGCTACCATCTTCTTTCCCGCAGGTGTCTCTAATACCAGAAAATAATGTTTCTTCCATATCTCTCCTTTTTGAATGCAAAGAATTAGCATAAAAGTCCTTAAAAAGTTATTCATAAAGAGGTTAACATATTTAGTTAACTCTACACTCATGACTGTAAGCGTTGGCAGATTTATTAGGTTTCAGATACTAAATGATCCTCAGATATCCATCAAATATAGAAGAGATAAAAATTCAGACAAAGCCAGCAATTCTAAAGCCCAAACTGCTAGCCGAAAAATCGTGGAATTTTACACAAATTATACCAAAACCTCCAATTCTCTTAGCTAAATATAATAAATTACCAAAAATTTACGAAACCCACAATGGGTATCAGGGCAAAATAATTCCAAAGGTCGTTTTTTTTCTTGAAGTGGTTCGATTATTAAAGAGGGGAAACAACAAAAGAGAAGATTTCCTAATGTTGTGCACCAATTAAGGACGATACACTACTACTCCGGTTGAAATGTAGATAGAAATTCAGATTAATTGAAACAAAAGAAAAAAGAGCGAGAGAGAGAGAGATTGAGATATTGAGAGAAGGAAGAAAGTTGAAGAAAATATACCTCCGGTTGCGAGGTTATTCTCGGTCGAAGAACCGCTGCATCTTGGACGCCGTCGTACCTTCTCTTCTGTCTATCTCCCTGAGATTAGCTTTCCTTTTTCAGTTCAGAAACTTCTACTGCGGATTCCGTCTGTAAGTAGTAGAGAGCTACATTAGAAGATGTGGCTGGAATTTGATGAGGGGGAGGAGAGGGAAAGACAAGTAAAGAGGGGCAGCCAAACAAACGGCTTCCAGAGTCCAAATCCCAGCTACCAAAGAAATCACAAACCAGTCTCCTAAAAGCAATGAAAAAAATGCTTGCACAACAAAACACAAGAACCATTAGCATCAAACAAGTTTTTACAGAGGAGGAGAAAAACATGAGTACAGAGCAAATCTAATGTAGCAAGACAAAATATATATTCCACGGTGATCAAGGTAGAGGAGACAGAGCTTCTGAGAGCAAGGTGAGGCGAAGAGAGAAGACGAGAAGAGAAAGCGGCGGCAGCGGAGGAAATTTAAGGAAACCCTAGAGACGAAGTATATGTAGACGTCTGGTGGGAGATGAGGCACTTGTGATACTGGGTGTCGGAGAGGGAGATGATGTGGCGGCGGCGGAGGAGGAAACGGAGAGAGTCTGAGGGGAAAAAATAGAGAGAGGAGAGAGGAAGAGAAAGGAACGGGGAAAAAAAGGAAAAAAGAATGCTGGTGTCGGAGAGGGAGATAATGTGGCGGCGGAGGAGGACGGAACGGAGAGAGTGAGGGAAAGTGACAGCAGGAGGAGGAAGAGGAGGAGGAAAGGAAAAAAAAAAAAGAGAAGAGAAAAGGGAGAAGAGAAGAGAAGGCGGCGTTTTTTAGTCTAACCTAGGTCTCGCGCAGGAAGGCAGGAGGAAAGAAGCGGCCGAGAGATTCTTGATGCGGCTAACCCTAAGCCGAGAAAGAAAATGGACACACGAAGCGCATCGCCGCGAAAAAGATGGGGTGATCCACGTGCGCAACACGTGAGAGGACGACGAAAATTCTGGCTGAATGGCGTTCGCACTTTATCTACTTATGTTGAAAAATTTCTCTTTGTAATTATGAGTTCTCAGTTTTTACCCCATACACACTTCCATATTTCCCCAATTTCATATTATCCCATCTTTAAATTGTAACATCCAAGAGAGTCTCAAATTGTATTTGCATTACTGTCGCGGAATGCTTTTCAATCACCCTTGGAGGCCACCATTACAGGATTTTCAAATTTACACGAAACCTTATCAGGAAACCAAATTCAGAAGCACATTCTTCTTCCCCGGGCCCCGGAAACAACTGATTGGAGGATGATTTCACACACACACACACAAAACTACACACACACACACACACTCTCTCTCTCTCTCTCTCTCTCTCACACACACACACACACCGCAGAATTCTGAACACTCGTTTTTTTTTGCGGGATTCTGGGTGAAAGTCATCATCGATGCAAATTGACCAAATCAAGCGAGCCTGATCCGGCCAATTTGGCGAGCATACCATAAACAAGAAGAATGCGTGTCCTTTTTTTTTCTTTTTAACCATAGTATTTTATTTTGCCTGCATCAGAATTCAGACCCTGGAATATCAAAAAACTGACCCGGCAAATTATGGAAACCTGGTGGAACCAACTAGCTACGACTGCATTAGACCACTAATCCCCTGCTGAGCAACGTTAGCAAGCACATGATTTTTAAGAGCACAAGCAATTATTTCTGTAATTTTCTCTACAATGAGAACCATGGACATCATCTTACATCACAAAAGTTGCTCCTCCATTCGTCTGACTCCACAACATGAACAAAAGCGCAAGGAATGGAGTGAGAAACGGGAAAACATATTGCAAGTGCATGCTTTAAATTATCAGTTGTTATTCGCTATGGCCAGTACAAGAGTAAACCTCAACTATTTTCATGACAAATACAGGCCTCTTGCAAGGAGCAGACAATCAAATCCTGCTCTACTGAAGCCAAACCAAGATTTGACTGCAAGCCTATAAAACATACGTATAATTAAAAAGTTCCAAAAATCTTTCCCATTTGCCAAAACAAACAGAATGGTAATTTTACTTTTACAAGCCCCAAAACAACCAAAAGCAATGAAGCTTCTTATACAGCATGCAGCTACACAATCAAACGACGAGATAGATATCACAGATTCCCAAGACCAAATCAGAATGAAAACGTAAAGCAGTTACAAGAAACAGAATCCTTGTAAACCAACTGATCTCGACATGTTGCACACATGAACAAATGCATACTGAACAATCTAATTGTACATGATAGGAATAATGCTCGTCTGCTCAACTCTGCTCTTTTCCCATACTTGAAAATAATACATTAATTTCTGGAGTGATTCAGCCAAAAAATAGTACCTTGGATTTCCAGTTAATGCAACAGATCACAAGTTCTACAGAGAATGAACTTATCAGGTACGCCATATGGTACCTGACACTCATCCCCAGCTTTACACTTGAAAAGGAATTTGCGCGTGCTTGTTCCACAAAAGTTGCTCCATTAAGGAGAATCACTAAATGAGATGAAAAATCTTTTCCAAATCTAAAGGGCATATCTCCAGAGTAATATAATCAGACTTTTAAAAAAAAATGTCATATATGTTAAGCTATCATACAGGATAACAGCAAATTATAGTTCAGAAATAAAAAGAATAAAACAGAAGAGAATAAGTCATCCATTGAATGATTACAACTGATTATCACTACTAGGATCTCCAATTTCAAAGTACAAACATAGAAATGACCTCGTTGCTACAACAACATAAAGTTCCAAGAAATTCAGGTTTCACAAGTGCAAAAGCTAAACCACAAACACCATAGATGCAGATACACACAAATGCTAAAACCATAAACATGAGCTATACATATACAACCTTCTACTTTGCTACCCGAATTATCATAGCTGCAACATTGCTTCATACCTGAAAAGTTATAGTTGGTATCCACCTATCTTATAAATCAATACGAGGCATAATAACTGGTAGAATCACGTGTATCATACCGGCCCAACCTAGAGCGATTAATATTATCCAATGCTGCCCCAAACACTCTTCAACTGTAATCATAATTGTTGCTGTTATAATGTGATCTATATCCATTAGAATGCTCATAATCATTGTTGTCATAATTGGATCTATACCCATTTGGCTGGTTTACAGACACACCAGGAGTGACACGCACTGAATAAGAAAGCAAATTTTGTTAAACACAAAAACAGAAGAAGTTGTAAATATTAAATACGAGGTTTCTAAACGCAATGATGTCTTGAAAGTATGCATCACCTTGTGAATAGTTTACTTGGTGATCTTGAAACCTGTATGATGTTGATAAACTCATGGAATCTGGAGCCCGTTTCGTTATACGCTACAGGGTGAGGCCTCGGTTTGTGAGAGGAACTTACCGTAGGCAAGTTCATTGAGGGCTTGTCTTGCCAGAAATCTGTTTTCAATGTCCAAATATTACTATACTTTCTATGCAAGCTGGAAAAATCATGCCTCCTCAATACAATTTACAAATGTCAGCCTACACCAGTTGTGTAAGGGTCCATAAGCTAATTCAGTTGTTGCCTCTTCAAGAGAAGATGTAAGCGGAAGCTCCACAAACCCCTCCTCAGGAGGAGCAACAAATTTAACCGTCTCATGGAGTCCCACAGAGAAACCAGTCGCAGGCTGACTTGGAGGCCAATGTTGAAGAGTTAAAACAAAACAAACAAAAACGAGAGAGAGAGAGAGAGAGAGAGAGAAGAGAGAGAGAGAGAGAGAGAGAACAAATAGCAGTACCATATGAAATGTAGCAAAAAGTTACCACATCATACAGCAAATTGAGTCAAACATAAGACCCAAACTTGGGAAAAAAAACAAAAAAAGATGGAGTAATATAGTGTATAAAATAAAACTTACAAGATGAATCACAAAGAACAAAGACATACCGCAAATTTCAATGTCTTTGTAAAGGGTTACAAGCCAGAAAAAAGCTTGACAGCATAGTCTGCTACCTCTTCTGTTTCATATTGTGCAAATGCAAAACCTTTCGGCTTCTCAGTTTCTTTATCCCGAGGAATGTACAAGTCCACCACCCGACCAGCTTGAATCAGGATGTCATACAGTACCCTATCGCTTACCCTCTCATCTAGATTGCCTGCAACAGGCATAACCAAAAGGCATTAGATACATCCAAATTTGAGTAACCTACCATGACAAATGCGGTCTGTCAAGATAACCTAAATCACTGTGCATTTCCATTGTCCGATTACGTACGAGTTCTATATAACCAGAACTCAAGTACAATGATGTCTATTCTTTTAAATCTTAACAACAAACACTGGCTCATTTTCGGCGAAAATAAATTTTACAGCTCATAACGCAATAGATAAATTTTTAAGCACCATACAACATCATCATTATAATTTATGGCTATATTGAAAAGGCTGAAACCCTAGCAAATTCTAACACGAGACGTAATAGCCAAAAAGGAAAAAAAGACAATCAACAATCATACTTTTGCCCCAAAATCAGCTTAATCAGAATGTCAAATGAGAAGCCCACGACACGACAAATCGCAAGTCGGGGAAAGGAAAGGCAAAAAAGCCCTAATCCTATGGATAAGCAGGAAGGAGTAGAAAACCAAAAAGCCTTTCATGTTAACCTAGGGCAAAAGGAAACAGAATTACTTAATCCACCATTACTCAACACGCTAAAATAGAATTCTGTGAAGTTCAGGGAAAAAGAAGAAAAACAGAAAAGGCATCCACAAACCAGAAGAAAAGAAGCTTACCGACGTAAACCGTGCAATTGGGATTCTCAGCCCCATGAGCGATTAATTGATTTCTGGATGTTGTTAGAGCAAGTTGCCAGAACCCTAATTCTTTTAAGGACGGCAGGTACCAGGTTTATTTTCGAGATCCTTTCGGATTACTATTATATTTAGGATTAATCACATTTTATCCCCTTAAAAAATATCTCATCTCTCAGTTTACCCCATAACATTTAATTTTGCTCACTTAACCCCTTTAGGACAAAATTGCCCTTGCATTATTTTGACTTTTCATTTACCTTGTTTTCCTTTCTTTTATTTCTTTTTCTCTTTCTTCTTTATTTAATTATTCCTCTTTTCCATAAAAATCTTCACCTTAATGATTGAAATTAAAAAAGATGAATTGCAGAGATCTATCTTCTCCTTAAATGATTAAAAAATATTCAAATCACTTTTCTAAAATATAATTTTTTTTAGCCTTTCAATTCTTTTAATTTTGGATTTTCCTCTTTCCTTTCTAGTTTCTCATTTTATTCTCAAGAAAATATCATAAGATGAAATTTTTTCTTTCTTTTATTTCTTTTTCTCTTTCTTCTCTCTTTCATCCTTCCAATAGAAATTTCATTTCAACGAAAATTTTTGTTTTGAGTTTGTAATTGCATATTTCTGGGTGAAGGTTTAAAATGTATCAAAAACTAATTTTGATTTTTGTATGATGCCACGTGTCACAAATTTCAATTGATGATTATTAATCGGATCACAATTTCATTTTAAGATATTTTCTTGGGGATAAAATGAGAAACAATAAAGGAAAGAGGAAAATGCAAAATGTATATCCCAATGGCATGGTGTGTGTTGACAATGGATCACAAGCAATTTATTTGTTGCATAAGGAAAAATTTTTATTCATATATACAATTTCCTAAGATTTTTTTATTAAAGCTAAACAATGGAATGAATTTTTCAATTTTCTATAAGAAAGAATATGTGGTTAGAATTTGTAAAGTAAAGGTAGAGGAAAGAAAGATAATATTCCAAAGTTGGAAAATATTTTGATATGTTAAACAAACACCAGAAAATGAAGTTAGGAAATATTTTCAATAGGCTAACTAAACACCTGAAATGATAAAAAAGAAATGATTTTCCTGGAAAAGCACTTCCATGAAAAATATTTTCCCAAAGAAAACATTTTACTCCCAATCAAACGGACCCCTAAATGGTAAATACAACCAATTGTGCGCGTCATCTTAGCAAAGCCAAAGGCGGAGTGGGTTGATTCTTCTTAATATATATACTTGCATAGAGGGCCCCTTAGCCGCTGCTCAGCTTGTTGAATGCACCTGAGTGGCAGTTTCCGTCGTCTTTCTTCGCTGACGTGTACTACTAGTATTATGCTACCTTTTCTTGTTCCTGTTCTCCAGCCGTTAGAAGGGAAGGAAGTTATGTATTGACTAATAAATTGAGGATACTGATCAGTAAATTGGCTTTCGGGCAAAGAGATTATCGAAGGAATATTCCTGCTGCACTCTTATTAGTATCAATAGTTTGTTATTCATTTAGACCTGACAGACCATGGATGCAGTAAACGATAGAGAGAGCGAGAATGCACTGGTGGTCTCTAGTGCCTCAAATCATCATGATAATAGCTGGATTGACATCTCATCATCATCGTCTTCTTCTTCAACCCCAACATGGACCTACGACGTCTTTCTAAGTTTCAGAGGCGAAGATACTCGCAGAACTTTTGTCGCCCATCTCTTCCGAACCCTTTGCAGTAAAGGCATCTATACTTACAAAGATGATCAGAGATTGGAGAAGGGCAAGTCGATTTCACTCGAACTCTTGCAAGCAATCCAAGAATCGTTGTTTTCAATCGTAATATTCTCCAAGGGCTATGCATCCTCGACGTGGTGCTTGGAGGAACTTGTAAAGATCACCGAATGTCACGAGACCATTGGACAATCTGTGTTGCCAATATTCTACGACATCGATCCGTCAGACGTACGCAAGCAGAGGAATAGCTTCGCCGATGCATTTGCGAAACACGACAGAGACCATAGCCCGGAGAAGGTACAGAAGTGGAAGGAAGCTTTGTCTCAAGCAGCCGGTATATCAGGCTGGCACTCTTGTAATTTCGCAGATGAGTAAGTACTACTAGCTAGCTTCATGGTTGCCCTTACTTTCTGGTTTCAGCTTGTTATAGATTGAGAAAAATGATTTTGTAGTGAAGGACAGTTCTTAGACAAAATAACTAATACTTAATGTCGTGCTTGGACATTTTGATCAATCAACAGCGATGAGTTCATCGAGAAATTTGTTCAAGACCTGCATAGTCAGTTGCACTAGTTTGAACTACCACCTGGCGAACACGATCTGGTGGGAGTACGATCTCATATGAAGGAAGTCATTTCGTTGATGGATTTGAGAAGTCCCGAAGTCCGCAGGGTGGGAATCCACGGGAAGGCGGGAATAGGCAAGACAACCATCATCTTGTTTTCTGGATGATGTTGGCCAAATTTCCAAGAAACACGGATTATTTACAAAGAAATCCTCCTCTCCGAGATGCTCAAGCTAAGAAACGTCAAGATAAGAAGCACGAGCGAAGGGCTAAGTATGATGGCACGCCGGTTCGACACCTAAGGACCCTAATCGTTCTTGATGCTGTGGACCATGCAAACCAGTTGGAGGCCTTGGCAGGAAAACGCAACTGGTTTGGCACTTGGGATCCTCGTGACATATTTTGAGTGCCAAACCAGTGCCATCTAATATTCGCCAAGTGTCCTGCTATTATTTGTATTTTAATTTTTTAATAATTTCAAATTGGTTTGGTTTAACACAAATTTCCCGGTCCTCTAAGACTTTGAAACCAAATTAACCAACCGGTCTAGACATTACCAATACTTTCATCCAGCAACCACTCAAGATCGGATTGGCATGGGAAAAAGAAAAAGATAACCCTAAACAATTGCCTCCAAAGTCCAAGCCTTTTCATCGGCAGTGAAGCTTAGAACAATCAACCGTAGCCTAATAAGCGCAAAATAGCAGCCGCCGACTATTGAAGCAAACTGACTACAAAGATTCAGGAAGTACTCAATCAGTAACGCCCAACCATGCTAGCTTTCTCCAGCAAAGAACAAACCAAAACGTTTCACATCATTCAGGTAATTATCCAACCTTGCATCCGGTTTAAGTCTTGAGTTTTTTCAGCTTTGATTTATTAAATCAACATCACTATTTGCTCCATCATCTTGATTTCGAATTTTCAATTTTTTTAATATTAAGAAAGTTAGGAAATAGACAACAACTCGTAAGTATTTTAACAACTCATAAGCAATATCACCCTACCTTATGTTATGCAATTTTATATCTTCATTTTCAATTTCCATTAAAGTGAAATTTACATTGAATTGTGAGTTTGGAAAGATTAAATATTAATTGAGTGGTCAAATTGACTACTTACACGCTAATTGTAATATACCTGGAAAATAAGTTACTTTGTGGGATTAAAAAATTATTTATTATTTCAAGAATTGTTATAAATTTTACTAATGTACCAAATTAAAAAAAAAGATACAAGAAGTAACAATAGCTTTTCTGACTAGTTGCAAGTAGTAGTAGTGAACAAGTAGAATTGGAAATTCAACTACTTTAATAAATTATTGAACAAAAAAATTTGCTTACATTTTTTCCTTATTGTATTGCAATTAACTTGCATGAAATTATTTTGTTAATTTAGGGTTAATTCAGTTAGGTTTCAGTAAGAAGACTTGTTGAGATTCAAAATAGTAAAATACATCTGGACCTGGTTCCTCTTTTGACCCTATTCTTTGACGGTGTTTGAGGTTTTAGTCCTTACCATGGGATTAATTTTTTCACCAAATTTAAAACCCGTGGTTCCTTAATCATGCAAGCTGTGTGTGGAATCATTCTACCAGCCTAGGACGAGTTATTTGATGATTCAATTCAACTTTAGCAATTTTCTTATGTTATCAGCTAATTGTTATTGTTCACTCCTCGGAACAGGTCAGGTTGGTGCTATTCAATTGGGCATCAGCCGGTCACTGCAAAACTGGGCACAGATTTACGTCCTCGTTTGAGAGAAGGTACATTTCCTTGGAGTAATGTTATCTTTATTAATTGGTTTCTTCACCTTGCTGCTTCTTCCACCTTACAATAGGGAAAGACTAGATTTTTGTTTCTTTCTTCACCAAATCTGAATTTTTAAGGAGTACAATCATGCATGTATGATCTTGAAAACATGATGATTAAATCAAAAGTAATCTATTATTTTGTTTGTATAGTTGTACGTCAAATGTGTGTTCTATTGTGACTGAAACATTGCTTCTTGCATTTCACGTTTTGTTATATGTCAAATTTGGAGCTTTTGACCTTAGTTGTCATTTTTAGGTGGTTTAGTTGAAAGGAAAATTTAGGTGGTTTAGTTGTCAAATTCGAGCTTTTGTTGAAAGGAAAAAGCCCGGAAAAGCAAAACAAAAAGAGCTTCCAGTGGGTCAAGCGTTAGAGCAAGTCTTGCCTGCTCACGACTCTTGAAAGGTTGCAGGATATGGATGCTAAGGCTTCTATAGAAACTGAGGTATCATCCTGTCGCAGATTGGATTTTGACAAGGTAGATCAAATTACCAATGATGAGGTTTCCACTCCACCAGTTTTAAATGTGATAAAGGATATAAATAAAATTCATACATTGATTCCTTTTGAACTAATTCCGAAGATGGGCATGGAATTTGAGAGTGAAGAAGATGCTTATAATTTTTACTTAGCATATGCAAAGGAAGTTGGTTTTGGAATCAAAAGAAGTAGCTTCCACAAAGATAGTAATGGTAAGCTCATGGATAGGGTATTTTGTTGTAGTGCTGAAGGAAAACGAGGAAAGGATAAAAGAGATCTCAATGTAAGAGCCCCTCGTCCTGAAACACGATTTAATTGTTCGGCGAAGATGAAGGTTAACAGTAGACAAACTGGTAAGTTTCGTATATGTCAGTTGATCATTGAGCATAATCACTATCTTTCAAGTCCCAACAAAAGTCATTTACACAGATCACATAGAAAGATAAATTCTATTCATGCAGCTGAAATTGATATGGCATACCGTGTGGGTATAGCACCAAAAGTTTCTCATGAACTTATGGCACTACAAGTAGGAGGACGGGAGAACTTAGGTTTCATTCCTGAGGATTATAGGAATTATTTACGTTCTAAACGAACAATACAAATGGAAGTTGGAGATACAGGAGGCGTACTTGAATATTTGCAAAAAATGCAATTAGAGGATCCTAATTTCTTCATGCAATTCAAGTGGATCAGGATGCTTTGATTACAAATATTTTTTGGACTGACGGATTAATGAGGGCAGATTATGCAAGTTTTGGAGATGTTGTTTGTTTTGACACGACGTATAGAAAGAATAATGAAGGCCGTCCATTTGCATTATTTGTTGGAGTGAATAATCATAAACAGACTGCAATATTTGGGGCTGCTTTATTATATGATGAAACTGCTTCAACATTTGAGTGGTTGTTTGACACTTTTGCGAGGCAATGTCAGGAAAAAAACCAAATACTATACTTACGGATCAGGACGCAGCAATGGCTAAAGGACTAATTTCTACATGGCCTGAAACACGTCACCGTCTTTGCATATGGCATATATTTCAAAATGCAGCTATTCATCTCAGTCATGTGTTCGAAAGTTTTAAACAATTTGCGAATGATTTCAGTAAATGTGTATATGATTTTGATGAAGAAGAAGACTTTATATCTGAATGGAATACTATGTTGAAGAAGTATGGTCTTGAAGACAATGATTGGTTAAAACGTATGTTTGAGATTAAAGAAAAATGGGCATTGGTGTATGGAAGGGAAACATTTTGTGCAGATATGACAACAACTCAAAGGAGCGAAAGCATGAATAGTGTGATAAAAAGGTATGTAACCTACAAGAATAAATTTCATGAGTTTTTCAATCATTTCGAGAGGTTAGTTGATGATCGTAGATATAAAGAACTTAAAGCTGACTTTAGAGCATATATGAGTACTCCAGTACTACCATTCGATGTTGATGTTTTGAAACAAGCTGCAAGTGTTTATACTCCTGAAGTATTCAAATGGTTTGAAATTGAGTGGGGTAAATCTTATGATTGTGGTATAATCACCTACAGTGAGGTTGGAACAGTGACAGAATATAAGATCACTCCTAAAGGCAGAAAAAACTATCATATGGTTAGATTTGATTCAATAGGTGATCAGATTTCATGTAGTTGCAAGAAGTTTGAATTCTATGGGATTTTATGCTCTCATTCTCTGAAAGTTCTTAATATAAGAAATATCATGAAGATCCCTAGTCAATACATAATAAAGAGTTGGACCAATAAAGCAAAAGCTGGATATGTTAAAGACCACAATTGTTGCAATATCAATAATGATTTGGATCCGAAAGTGCTTTTTACGAAGCGTTACAGAGATTTGTGTAGACTATATACTCAATTGGTCACAAAAGCTGCTCAAGCAGAAGAAACTTATAAAATTGCTAAAGAAGGCCTTTTGAAAATATTGGATTTGGTTGATGCAAGGTTACATCAAGAGGGGTCGAGCAATGAGATGTCAAATGCAACAAAAGTTTCCAACCCCACAAATAACACTACTAATGCAAGTGGTATCAATATCAAGGGTATTAAAAAAAAGATGAAGACTATATCAGGCAAGACATTGAAGAGTAGTCTAGAAAAGGCTACTAAGAGAAGAAGATCAACCAAAAAAAGTTTGCAAAATAGTATAACTATGGAGTTACCAGCGTCATCACATAATGAGGTTTTATTACATTATAATTTTACTATATTTGTAATTCAATATTTTCTTATATTATGCATCCAATCTTTGTTTTTTCTTTTCATTAGCCTATAGGAGATACTATAAATATTGTATCTACGAGGTGCAGTATGCAACAACATGGATTACAAGAGGTAATGATTCGACATTATATGTAAACTAACAATTAAGTATTATTTACTGTCAAACTATTTATAAATGTGTTTATTTATTTTTATTTTTAGGCAAATACAAATGAGGGGAGCATGGTAGAATCTTTACGGTATCAACAAGAAACTTTTATCCAACCATGTTATTCTATGCCAGTAAGTATGATAGAGCTTTGCAATCTCAACAAAGCAACTTTGTGCAACCATATCATCCTACACCGGTAATTTTTTAGTTTCTTATTTGCATAAAATCATTTTATAAACATTTTATGTTTTGGTTTACACTAAAGTTCATGAATATTTTTCACTTTTGTGGTTGATACTTTGTGAATTTGGATGTTAATCAACAAAATTATGGCCAGCTATGCACTTTCAGTTCCATGAACATGACCGGCTTGCTCAAGGTAAATTATTACAGTTGTGATCATGAATAATTACTTCTTTAAGAAAGATTGTTTATTGTCTTTTTTTATTCATCCATTTATTTATGTGTTCAATTTTTTGGTGATATAATTCTAACCATAGGCACAAGAATTACATTGTTTCGAAGGAGCGAAAATAAATCAGTTCGAGTTGAATGACAACTCTTGCACTATGGGACAACAAGTTGGAGTTGATTGCAATGATAGGTGTGGTTGTCCAGTTCCATGCATCAATGATATTTCGTGCAAGTGTTCAAGTGGACAAAAGACCTGAAAATTTGACAGAAATTGACAATGGAACTTTTCGTGCTTCCCAAAATTAATGCACATTCTTCTATGTAGAATATATGTTTCAATTGACACTAGTACTGAGTTTTTAGATCAAGAATATATGTTTCAATTGACACTAGTACTGAGTTTTTAGATCTTTCATTTGAACACTTTGTTACCATTCCAAAATTCAATAAGACATTTGGATACTGTGGAATGTGAAGAGGCTTGGAAACATAATTGACTTAGATGCTATGCTCTGACAAAGAACCAACAGGACAAAGTTCTCCACGCATTCTTGCTTTGTGTTGCCGAGTCATTTAAGGACAACTCTGTCATCTGAAATCCCAAACACAAATTGCGGTAGCAGCCAATAGCAAGGTCGAATCCACTTTCATATCCTCCAATTGTTGTTGTTTTCCCAGAATATGCTTTTTGTAGTAATAGTACTGGAGCCCTAAACATATGCTGCGCTAACACTCAAATACGTGATCCACAATTCCTAGATGCCCTTGCTGACTAAATGCTTTATTAGCAGACAAATGCCAAAATGTACTAACACTGGGTTGCTTACTTGTTTCTTCACATTATTGTCAATTGTTCGACTTAAGTCGCAAGATCATACTACAAGAAGCATAAGCATCTAATCACAACAGATTATACTAGTGGATATCACCAGAGAAATCGAGTTAGTAATCCTAAATTGCATCAAACATAAAGTTTGTACAAACAGGCAAAACCAAAATTCTCCCAACATCAAATGAGTAAATCACAGTTTCAAACTAAAAATGCCACTTGATTACTTAGAAATGCACACCACATAAGATGTATCGTGGAATCTATAATGAGATAAAAAAAGATGTATATTTCCAAATCAACCAGCTAAACGAAGCTAACATACTCGTTTAATGAATCATAAAGCAAACGTGTAACAGCCATTATATTTACAAATATTTCAGCACACAATTCCAAATGTAGTTCGTATACAAGAAGATCAACAAACAGCATAAGCTGATACAGAACCAAACAAGACTACAGCCTGAATTTAGCATCAAACCAAGTTCAACAACCTAGAACTAGACTAAACTTCAACAACAGAAACGATATGGGGAACCTTCTGGCAATCAAAGGGCAAGCTAACATACTGGCAGGCGAACTCCTCAGCAATCTGAAATGCCAATTCGCCATGTTTCCATCGTTTCCTCTGTTTCAGAAGGAAGACTGACACTTCTCCATCGTTTCCTCTGTTTCATATTACTTTGAGGCAGCTTTGCTATCTAGATTTGGGAACTGATCTTTTGTGCTTGGATTGCTTTGTGTTGCCGAGTCATGGTGCTTTAGATCTTTCCTCGTGGAAAAGTAGTCATCTATTATTCACATATCATGTTCCTGCTTCATAGATCTTGAAAGCTGTCCAAAATAAAAATCGACGGGGCCTAAAATGATTTAAAGAACAAAAGATAACACAAACACAACCAAATACTATATTGAAGAGTCATATTCTTCAAAAGAGAATGATCTCTTGGAACAAGGCTACGCCACTCTTCTTTGTCAATCTTTCCATCATGCTTGGTATCAGCTTCCTCAAAGGTCTGAAATCAGAAAATGGATTAATATATTAGCTTCTTGCTCCAAGAAAGTGTTCCAAATAACTTCTAAGAATTTCCTGCAAGCGGATGCATAAAAGGTAAATGCTTGTCTTATCAAGAACAAAAGGCATGAGTTACTGCAATCGTTAACAGAGCATCATGAACCAATTCCCTATAGAAACAACTATAGATAATAACAAATTTTCTGCATTGCAAAATATCAAAACTTTGCTGTTATATTTTCTAAACCATTCCAGCAAGTGTTGCGACTACCATTTGTTTTACCTACAGTGAGATCACCAAAAGTCAAGTTCCTTCCAGCAAGGCAAAGACCACAGAAGAAAAATGAAAGGGTGAAAAACAAAGGGTGTTACAATGTTTAGAATACGTCAAGGAAAACTTTGAAATTCATGCAACAACCACCTCTGAATTATGAAAAGTAAACCAAAGACATTAAGGTTAATTACAAATAGATTAAACAAAGACATCACAAACTTAACATCACTATTCAACTAATTCTAGTCATGGATTTAACTAGGATCATTCTATAGGTTGCAACAGAAAGGGTGTTACAATTGATAAAAAAAGAATAGGTTCCCTATATTTCTCCTTTGCATTTGTTCTCCCTATACAACTGATACTAGACTGCATTACAAAACCAAGTACCTACTTAACATCTCCCTAGCGTGTTACAATTTCAAAACCAAGTACACTTCTATTTCTTTCGTTCTTTCTACAAGCAACAAACTGTGAGCAAAAAGATTTGCTGCATGACAAAGCTATAATAATGGAGCATTTCATCTTACTTTCTTCCAAGCAACTGAAGAAAAGAAAGACAAAATTCCAGGCCGAGAAAAACCATATATCATCATAAATACTTGTAACGATTGATAGTTGATAGGGTGCTTCACATTTAATTGTAGAAAAACTATAACTTCCTTTACAAATCATAAACAGACAAGTAAAATATAACACACTAATACTCAAAACCGAAAATACAATTGAAATTAAAGCTGATTAAAAAAAACTGAACAGCATAAATAAGTGGATAAATTAGTAACTAACCAATGTGTCTGACTAATCTCAAGTTCTTTACTCTTCCATATATGCTCATAGCCTGAAGAAATAGACAAGACCCATATCCCCAATTCAACAGATAAGCTCAAAAAAGTAATCTTTTGAAATAAAACGCCATAACCAAAAAACAACAAAACAGAGTGAAAATCAAGAAAATGAAACTTAAATAAAAAAAAAGGACCTGGCGAAGAGTTTCTTCAGTGGTGGAGTGGGAAAGACGGCCCACAAAAATCGTGCAGTAGGTCACCAATCACCTTTGGATCGCCGAAAGGGTCATCTGCAAGAAAATGAGCACATAAAAAAGTGGGGAAAATGGCAAAACAGAAATTACAAGAACCTGGGAAGGAAATCAGCAATAGGAAAAGAACCTGGAACGCTGCACAATTGAGCGTCCGATGGAGTTGATCCAATCTTCTTCCTCCTTCTACAACTCAGCCATGAAGTACATGAAATTGCCTCTCGCCGGAGCTCGGAAGAGGAGGGCTTTGACGGTGAGGCAATCGGCAGTGAAGATGCCTTTGACGGTGAGCCAATCGGCAGTGAAGATGAGCCAATCAATTTCAATTTTCATCGGAGGAAGAAGGATTCGGCAGTGAAGTGTGGACCTCATCGGAGTGGATTGGAGAGTTTGAAGGGTTTGAAGGCAATCAATGACGAAAGTATTGGTAATGGGTCTAGACCGGTTGGTTAATTTGGTTCAAAGTCTTAGAGAACCGAGGAAATTTGTGATAAATGAAACTAATTTGAATTATTAAAAAATTAAAATGCAAATAATAGCAGGACACTTGGCGTAATATTAGAGATGGCACTGGTTTGGCACTCAAAATATGTCACCGAGGATCCCAAGTGCTGGTTTGGTGGCGGGAGTAGAATTGTCATAACAGCAAGAGATGAAGACTTGGTGTCTAAATATGGAGCTGATGGTACGTATAAGGTGTACGGATTGTCCTACAACCAAGCTAAACAGCTCTTCAGTCTGTACGCATTTGGGAGCAGAACTCCTGGAGCTTTCAGAAAGCACTGGGGTGGTCCAATTTGTAGTATTTGCAGACTTCCCTCGTCTATTAAGGCCTGGGCTTCTTTGGTCCGCGGTCGAGATATAGGTTTTTGCAACGTTCAAACCAATTGGTTTCATTTTGTACGGTTGTTTCGTCGCTGCCCTACTGATAGGGTTCATTACTGTTGCCACAATAGTCGCCAAGGGGTTCGCTAGCGGACCTGATTTTCGCGACTTTCCTGGATTTCCACCATTTCCTAAGAATCCCTAAGGCGATTGCAGGAGCTCCCTAGTTTCCACCATTACTTTTCAAACTGAACTGCGCAACTCTTATGTAACATATTTGTTGATTGATTGCTTTGCATCGCAGAGTTTGGCCGTCTTTTTGGTGTTTGTTTATTTGGATTTTGGTGCAACAGTCATTGGTACTAAGTGGTACTACCAACTAAATTGCTTCTGGGATTCAACAACTTAAGTTTCAAGTTCAGCAGTAGCAAGAATGTCCATTTTCTGAAACTCATTGTTTTGTCGCTCTCTATCTGAATGACTACCCCCCGGGGGCCGCGGGGAGGAGAAGAAAAGAAAGAGAAACAAGAGTTTGGAATAGGTAATTCTGCAGAGAACTGTTTATTTATAACTTGTTATATAATTATCTTCAGAACTTTGATCTTTATCATTTATTAATAAATTTATTAGTTTATTTTTAATTTCTTCTTCATCTGCACGGATTTCAGTAATTTTTTCTTTTAATCTACATTTGTTTGCTTTATGGCCTATTTTTCCACATTTGTAACAAACAATTTTCTTTTTAATAAATCTTTTCTTTTTAGTTGATTTAGTTGGTTCATTTTCCTTGTAATTTTTATATCTTATTTTCTTGGAATATTTCTTAACTTTCTTTTTGTATGCTGAGGGTGATTTTATTCTTTTTATTCCAAATGCATCACAAAATGATCCTACTTCTTTTCTTTTTGATCCATACTTTATTTGTAATCTTAATTCTGAACATAATATTAATCCTTCTTTTTTCACAAAAGCAAATAATTGTCCAAAAGTAATATTTTCGAATGATATTACATCTGTTCCCATTTCTTTTTGTAAATTATCCATTATTCTTTGTGAAAATAAACTTGGTAATCCAGTTATGAATCTTTCTTTCCAGAATGAAGCATTACAATCTGGTCTTCTTAATACATTTGTTAAAAACATATCTTTATACCATCTAAAATCTGATAAGGTTGGGCATCTTAAATTTGTTAAGAATGTTTTATTAGAATTTAATTATTCTTTAGGATTTCCTATGAAATACATAACTATTGTTACTATTAAAAATTCTGCAGCATCTGACTGTATTTGAATATTTCCTTGTTCATCTTCAATTTCTTGTGTATGTTCTAATATTGATAATTTATCTTGTAATGTTAAAGCATTATCCCACCAATTCTTTAATTGTCCAGTAAATCCTGAAACTAATAAGGTTGCAATATTTCTTTCTTGAATATTTTTAATTTTGTAAGCCAGTCTAGCCATTCCCATTTCTTGTAAATTATTTAATACTTCATATTCAGCTTTTCCATCTATGTTCCATTCATATATTGAATCTCCATCATATTTAGTAGTTCTAAATTTTGATCTTTCTTCATATTGAATGTCCGGAGGACTTGGTCTAGGATAATAGTTTTTTGAACTTATTATTTGTTTATTGAAATTTCTTCTTCTTATTCTATTAATTTGATTATTATTTATTTCTTCAAATTGATTTTCTATTGGTAAAATTATATCTTCTTCACTATCTGATTTTATTGATTCTTCAGATGTATTTTCTAATTCTTCAGTTGAGTCTTCTTCTTTTATTATTTCTTCTAATGTGTTTATTTTAGGAGTGGAAGGTTTTATTGTTATATTTTGTAATGATTGTGATATTTTATTTAATATGTTATCTGTACTGTTTATTTTTTGATTATTTATACTTTGAACTAAATCTTGTTCTTTTTCTCTTGTCAGACTTCTAGGCTGAAAATGAGGTGCTGAAATATCATTGGGGAATTTTAACTCTGGTTTCTTTAATGTATCTATTTTAGTATTTAAAACTTCCATATGTTGAGAAATTGTATGTAAAATTTGATTTGTATAATTATTTTGTTGATAGACTTTTTTAAGATCTTCTAGATTTATTGAATTATTTGTACTTGATTCGACTTCTCTTCCTTTTTTAAAAGGTGAGGCTATTACTTCTCCTTGTCCTACATTAATTTTTACTTCTTGTAATGGAGGATGTATTGAAGTTATTATTTGATCATCTTTTAATTTCCATTTTTTATATAAATTAGTTTGTACATTTATTTGAGGTGTATTATATATATCATTTATTCCTAATTTTGAGGTATAAAATGTTAACCAAGTGAAAAAAGGAAAATCAAATTTTTGCTTATCCAATTCATTTTTCCATTCTATTATTAATTTTTCTTTATATGTAGGTTCTAATTGAAAAAATCAATTTCTTTTTTCAGTATTTTCTTCATCTTCAAAATCTTCTTGTAAATATTGGTGATTTATTTTATATGGTTTACTTATAACATTTATTTCTCCTTTCATTTGTGAATGTGTGGGAGAATATTCTGATTGATTTTGATTTATAACTTCTGGTATTGGAGTTTTATATTTAAAATTTGAAGTACCTTCCATGGGAAAATTAATTTCAGTGGATTTATAATTTGAATGTCTAGCTGGTATCCACGAATATGAAGATTCGAGTCTTTCTCTTAATGATGAAAATCTTATTAAAGTACTTCCATCTGATTTTTCTATAATATCTTCAGTAGTTTGTTCTATATTTCTTGCTATTTGTGGATTTCTAATTTCAAATTCCTTAGGTATTGTTATTTCATTCCATTTTAATCTTTTTGGTGTGTATGTTGTAGGTTTATCTGCATCAACTTGTAATAAAGTTGTTTCTTCTTTTAGAGTTGGAGTCATTATAAACTTAGGATTTAAATGAGATGATAAAGGTCTATAATATATTCTATATATTATTGCAAAATTCTGACAGGTGCCGAACCTGTGCAATAATAAATACCTGCTCAAATAAAATACAAATTCTGTATATAGCGGTAAGCAGGGTCGAATCCACAGGGACTGGGGATAATTTAATTTCTTCTCAAGTTCCAGATATGGGGGGTTTTTGAAAATGAGAGTAACTAAATTGCTTGGAATAAATAAAATAAAATAAAACAACTACAACTCAAATAACTAATTATCACAATAAAAATAATAATGGACGAACTCTAGCCAAGGGACAATTTCGGAGATGGTTCACTTAATTCGATCACAGATGCAAGGATTATTCCAGTTACTATCTGATAAATTAGTTATAGTTGTCATACACGCGATAAACAACCAACTCTTCCTCAACTTGTCGATAGCCAAGGTACGACCGTTGACTATTTCTCTAATCAGGAAATAACCCTAGGTACGACCATAGAAGTTCAATTCCCTAATTGCATGAATAATTAGAAGAGCCTAATTCTAACCAATCAACACGCTACGAGGGTCTCTTTAAGTTAGCCTGTCTATCCCCCTGACACAAATCCAATCATGCCAGTTGCCACCAGTTCAGAATAATTAAACAATTACGGATTTAACTATCCTAATTGGCTTCAGGTTATTGAATTAATCTAGAATCCGGGCCCTGGATAATCGAATAATAAAACAACCATATGAACATAAAGCAGAAGATAGACAAATACCAGTGAATAATGGAAATAAATAAAAACTAATACGATCTCACAAATTTAGTAAAACCAAATCCTCCGTTGTTCTTGACTAGAGCGAGGGAATTAGTTCATATTTGGTGAACTAAACCCATACAAAGGGGAAACGGCAACTGCGGCCTTTGTCCTTGCTTGTGCGAATTCAATTTGGCCGAATGAATGAAAGAAAAACGAGAAACTACAGTGTATGATTCAATTCTTCAAAAGGCTCTGACATGTGAGGGAGCGAACTACCAAGAGCCCCACTAATATATGAAGAAGAAAAGTCAAAGGAACTAAGCTAAGTAGTCCTACGTACCAAGAAGATACAATCTATTACTCAGGACTAAAAGAATGAAGAAAAGTCTAAAGCTCTCTCTGTGTTGTGCGGCGGCTCCCCCTCCGGAGAGGAAGAAGATTCGGCCCGAAAAAGAAGACTTCGGCCTCCTCTTTTTAATGCTGTCTTCGGGCTAATTACCAAGAAGGGTTGTG